GGCAGGAGAATCACTTGAATCTGGGAGGCGGAGGCTGCAGTGAGCTGAGATTGTGCCATTGCACTCCAGCCTGGGTGACAGAGCAAGACTCTGTCACAAACACACACACAATTATTTAACCATGTAAGAGATTCATCCATTTAAAATTTCATAAATGAATTTTAAAATACAGATGTTCAGGCCCTACCCTGGACCTCAAGTGGGGTCCAGAAGCTTAAACATATTTAACGAGTGCCACTGGTCATTCCAGCCAGATTTGGGAACCCCTGGTATAGGGTAGTCAGAGGATTTCTCCAAACCTGCTCTATATTTGAGTTCCAGTTTCTCAATCTGAATCCTGGGCAGGTTATTCAATGTTGTGTTCTGAACACATTTATTAAATCACATTTATTGATTCGATTCCTGTCAACTCTTTTGAGGTTTAATCTATAGAAACAGACTTGGAACTGGTAGAAGGGACCTGAAAACCCACTTGTTACGGCACTTCATGGGGAAACAACCTGGGAGACAGCCTGTGGGTGGTAGAACTTGAACCTGGGTTTTCTCACCCTGGGCCTATGCTCTTTTGGGAACACTGTATCTTGAGAGAATGTGTTCTTGGACTCCTGCAGTGTAAGGCCCAGAAATAGGACCTCATTCAGATGAAGCTCATGTTCTCCAAAGCAAAGGGGGAAAGTGCCCTGTGGCTCAGACATCCAGGGCAGCTTAATGGGCCATCAGGATTCCCTGGATGGCCTTTGTATTGGCATTAGACCATAGTCTACTGTACTTTGGCTGGCAAGCATGACATCCATGAGTCCTAGTTGAAGGAAACGCCGTGTTGGCTTTTCCTGGTCTTTACTGATTGCACTTGGTTCTGAGTTATATGCCCATCATGAAGCAGTTCCTTCAGGCTCTGTGATTTATTTAAAATTCATATTAATTTATTCTCTCCCTTTGCCCCCTTGGAGAAGTTTTGACATTTGGATTGTGGTAGTGGGAATTGCAAATCATTATAGAAATCACGCTCATCCACATCCATAGGCACACACACATACACATACAGGCCAAGCTTGAGTTTACATTCCAGAGGTGAGTTGATGGCTAGCTAAAGCCAGGGGAAAATAATGCAGCAATGGGCTACTATGTGCAGCCTTGGTTCCATGCTAGCGCTAGTCATAATCTCTACCTGGCAGTTGAATAATTTCAAAATCAGGTCTTTAACAGGTCAAAGACTAAACGAAACACTAAATAAAGCAAGAATGAAATAAAAACAAAACTATCAAAATACAATGACAGATTCAATTATCCAAATCGTTGAAAACTAAAAATAATTTATGTAAAACGTTAATTGAAGCCAGTTTTTTCATTTTATGAATATACTTATATGGATATATACATTATCATGAATTCTTTGTAGTGAAATCTCTCTCTCTCTCTCTCTTTTTTTTTCTTTTTTTCAAGACGGAGACTCGCTCTGTCGCCCAGGCCGGAGTGCAGTGGGGCGGTCTCCCCTCACTGCAAGCTCCGCCTCCCAGGTTCATGCCATTCTCCTGCCTCAGCCTCCCC